AGCCCTTCGTAAAGTGTGGGCTGTACATGTCAGAACATTTTGTTTTGTATCTCCTTGAGGCATAGACTTCCAGGAATCCCTTCAATTAGTCTACTGGAATCTTTTCCAACCAATCCTAGGGCTACAACTACAACAGGGATTGTTGATGTTCCCATGTGCCACATTTTTTAGATTTCTATTTCAACGTCCTTGTATTTTGACAGCTTTTTGAATATATTTAATGATACATTGCAGTCTGCAGGGACTGCCATATCAATAAGGGGGCACTTTTTTGTTTGTGGTTATTATTATTATTATTGTTATTATTATTATTTCACTTTGTCCAATTTACTTTAAAATTCAGTTCGAAAATTGCACATTTGAGGTAATGCAATGATTCAGTTCTCGAAGATGATCCTGTATTTTGCTGAGAAGAATATAATTCTTTATTTTCGTCTACTATAGACAGATTTATAAGTTCATTATCTCTCTGTTTTACTACTTCACACACGCATTCAATTTCTTCTATTTCTGTCTTTTTCTGCTCCAGCAATTCCTCGCCTCATTCTCCTCTACTTACTCTCACAGCTTCCACATTTTCCCCTAGGCCTTTTTTCCTTCTCCGTCTAATCCACCATAATTGTTGACATCATCCTAGATCAATGTAATTCTAAAATTGGTTAGAAAATTGGGATAGACTAGCCGGCCATATTCCAACTCGTTCCTTAATAATAAACATGTCTGTGATTTATATTTAGAGACATATTTAAGGAGCGGTGTCTATTTCAAAGTGGGACAGAATGTCACTAATGATGTGAAGAATTTTAGTAATAATTTATTCAACCTGTTTGCGCAGGATTGGTGGAATGCATAGCGCCACGGTAAGCGGATAGCTGAGTTCGAATTTCATTGGCGTTCTTTAAATCTACTAATATAGATTTTGGTCAGGTGTGAATCATTATCTTCGAGAGTAGGTCAGTCTAAGCTATCTAGCCTTTGTTGGCAGCTAGTCTCGGAGAAAGATAGCTCTGAAAGACTACCATACGTAGCACCGGTGAAGGAAGATGCTATGAAGCTAAAGAAAGGATCATGGCGTCCACACTGACTACAGCCGATCCACTTTTTTGGCTTAGAATTAAAATACATAATTTGAGTGCCGTATTCTTTTTGTTATGTGATTTGTATACTTATTGGCATCATGCTATTTATGACACTTGGAGATTTGATGAATTGAATTCGCTTGATGTTGTAGAAACAGCAATGAAATAGCGAGTCAGAAGGTGGGGAATAAAATTTATAATTTGTCTGACAAATTTAAATGGAGATATGCTTAATAAGTAATGAGAGCAAAAAGAAGAAATGCAAAAGAAAGAAAGAAAATTATAAATTAGAAGAAGCAACAAGAGAATTGGAAAGAAGGATGGAAAGATGGCTGAATCTCTGGCTGGCTGGATAGATAGAAAAAAAAAGGAGTAACGAAGAGGAAGAACGGATGATGAAATAAAGAAATAAAAATGACAGAAATTAAAGAAAAATAAAGAAAGGAAGTATGGATATATGGATGGGAACAGGAAAGGTGGGGACAAAGGAACGGATGGAGGAAAAGGAAGAAGAGATGAGAAAATAAAGAAATAACAATTGTATAAATTGAAGAAAAAGAAAGAACGTCAAGTTATCGTGCTTTTCAAAGAAGAACATCCGACGTGTGGATTGAACAAATGTGTAAAAATTCCTCATGAAATTTTCAGTCACATCAGTCGTCACCATTTTTCAACTATTGTCTCAGATCTTTCTGAATTTACCGCTTTTTATTGGGCACCCTGTAGATAAAAGAAAAAAAAAACAACATTTTCAGGGATTTTGAGATTCTTCTTCTCAGCCTGCAAAAGTCCTTCGTTGGACGTGGGCCTTCCACATGTTCATGGGGAGTTATGAGAAATTACGATACAAGTACTGGCCCAATGCGTGGATGGGAAGGATAAGCGAACATGTTTCTCTTCGATTCATGATCGTCAAAGGGTATTTTGCACGTAAGTGAATGTCACCGGCCTGACTGGAATTCGAACTCAACTATTCAAGTTCTCATTCCGCGCCGTTATACATTACACCGCCAGCTCATCCAAGTTTAGTGTATCTGGTATTCCCAAGCGGTCACTCATCTTTGTAGTGACCAGGCTCGACGTTGCTTAACTTCGGTGAACTGGCGTTTCACCATGATATAACCGTAAGCCTTGTTATAAAAGTGTCTGAGAATGTATTAATATTCAGCTTTTTAGTGCTCCTATAATACCACCTTGTGTCAGACTAACAGAGTATCGTTTAATATATATTGATTGCAATAGTATTTAGCCGTAAAATAAAATAAAAAAGCAAAAGAAGCTATAGAAACATTAAACAAGAATAAATATTAAATCACATCACTCGATTCTTTCAAATATAACCGCCTCCTCCTACAAAAAATTACCATATGTACATGGAATATTTTCTTTCGTCCGTAGAATGTACCCGCAAGATGTTACTG